TTTGTTTGTTTGTTTGTTTGTTTGTTTGTTTGTTTATTTATTTATTTATTTATTTATTTATTTATTTATTTATTTATTTATTTATTTATTTATTTAACATCTCGCCTATCTGGTCGGTTAAGACCACTCTTGTAAGTTAAATAAGCTGGGGGACAATATAGCTCCTGTAGGTCTCTATATAGTATTGGACTCCTAATTCCCACTAGACTTCCAGTCGCCATGGAAAATATAAGAGAAGCTGGAAATCATGGTTCATCAACATTTGTGGCAGTATACAATCCTGTACTTTCATTGGTGGAACTAGGTTTAGAAGGGTAATCCACCTGTATTACTGCAGCTGCCAAGTGCCTCGCAAATGGCCTATATTGAAGAGCTTTGAGAAACTCCCCATCTCAGAGCAATTTCGGTCAGTGGGGAGATTGTGAAGGGTGCCAGATCTTGGAGAGTCAGAAAAATTCTAGCCCTTTTCTTCTTCTTTCAATGGTAAAACTTTCACAAGCAATGGCGACCTGACTTAGGAGACAATTCTATATACCCTTATACAGAAGTTGGGAAAGAGTGTGTTATTTTGTGGATTAATCACAAGTCTCTGAATCCTCCAGGCAGTGTCCATACTGGCAGGGACATTTTAGGAGCTGCAGGGGATCAAGATAGGCAAAGAGAAGAGATGACCAAACAACTGAAGGCAAGGGTTGGTATTTTAATATTAACCTGCATCTTGAAGAAGTTCAGCATTCACTGTAACCTGCAGTCTGTAAGGAGATGAACTTCACTGATGGCTTCACTTTTATTTATATAGTAATACCAGGAATCCAAGATCTATTTAAACAATTTTTTGTTCAAGGAGTAGGATAAGGCAACCATTCAGGTCGCTAAAGAGTTACAACATTCTCCCCGGCTGGGCCTGTATTCTTCGCCTATGGAATTTGTTAGCAGTGAGAGCCTCTTTCTCCTTCGGAATAAAATGCAAATGATTAATCAAAGCTTAAACACTTGTCTGCTCTAGAAAGGAATGGAAGAGCATGAGAAGGGGAAAGGTCTCTGTGAGGCTGGAGGCAAGGAGAGAGAAACTTAAGACAGAAGACTGGCAATTAAATTAGAGACAATAAACACAAATGCCATCCTTGATTGATAGCTAGCTTGCTTTATAGGGAGGATGGAAAGTCTGTAGTCTTCCTGGGAAAATATATTTGGTGGCTTGTCTGTCTCCTTTATAAATTGGCCTTCATTATGACAGCCAACAATACATGAAATTGGATTAAGAGAATAGCTTTTGGCTCCTACTGTAGATTTTGTGCTTAGTAAGGGAAGGAGAAGAACAGATGGAGGATTCTCTGACTGGAGAGGGGGAGAGAGAGAAAGACACTGTGGCGAAAGCTTGATGGGCTTGCCATATATGTCTGCTTTTATTTTTAAACATTTCTCCTCTACCCACCCCGTATCCCTCTGCTGGATCAACACTTTCTTATTGCAAAGGAAGGAAATGGGGGGAGGAGTAAAGGAGAGGGGTGGAGAGATGATGTGGAGGAAAGGGCCGGGAGGGGGCGGGCAGTGGATGGAAACTGATGATCATTTCCCAACCCTTAAAGTCAAAATTCCATTCGGAAACTCAATCCCCTCATAACGACATGCAGACATGGAAAATAAGATTTACAACTTCAGCAGAACTGTAATTCTATCAAGAAAAAAAGGCATCTGTCAATCTTGCATTTTAACGTCAACAAGGGGCCCCAAACTGTCTTTGTCATACTCCTTCCTCCTTAAAAAAAAAAAAAGCTATTACAAAAACTCATGGAAGGCTTTTTTTAAAAAGGACATCAAAGTCCCCTTGAATCTGATGGAGCTCTGACCCCCATATATTCCATTTATAGCCTGTCTCAGAATGACATCCCCCTTGACTAGCAAACTGTCCAATCCAGCTGCAAGTGTCAAGATTGTATTAGGCACTAAGTGAAATATATATATATGCCCTTATGGTGTTTAACCCACTGGGTCTACCTCCAAGGCACTGGGCTGTAGATCATTCTGACCACTCGCTGCTCCTCATCCAGGAAGCTCTTATAAGGGGCTTGTGGGGCATCTTTTGACTTAAACAAAAAAGAAAGAAAAGCAAGGAAAAACAAATGGCACCAAAGAAAGACGCCAAGAAAGCTGCAGCACCAGCGCCAGCGCCAGCGCCAGCACCAGCACCAGCACCAGAACCAGCAAAGCCCAAAGAAGCCCCAATTGATCTCTCCTCCATCAAGGTAAACAGATGAACTCTTGTGGTCACTGAAAAGTCCACTTCCTCCAGTTAGGAAACAATGACAGTGGCCTTCTCCATTCTTTGATTCAAACCAGGATGCTTTTGGATGGCCTTATTTTATGGCTTGTGGAGTGGACCTTAGTGAAGCCAAATTGGAAAAGAAACAAGGCTTGGTTTTTCACTTAAAAAAAAAAAGATTTAAAATTCAGCTCTATTTCCTTTTTGTCTAAAGCCACTGGAAATATTTTATTTCAGTTGCTGAGTTTGGCATGTTAGAAAATGTGATGGGGTTGCCTAGGGAAGTATTTGTGTTTTCAAAATCTGGTATTTGATGTATTTCTAATTGGCCTGAAGTAGTGCTTTCACAGTTAAGTTTGTTGCACACCTCTGCCACTGTGAGGCAAACCAAACATTGTGGAAAGAAGAATAATTGCAAATTTATAGTTAAACAGAAAATGTGAATCAAAATTCTCTTGTTTTTAAACAAGGATTTAATTATTTCCTAAGTTTCTTTCTGAACTTATTGTAGACACTTTTAAAGCAGCTGAAAATCCGTTCTTCGTGGCTCTATTCCGTATTGTCTGTAACATAAACCCTATGAAACAAAAATATGAATTTCTTTTTACCTCTAAGATTAGAACAAATTCGGATGTTAGGTTAGAAGAGACCAGCAATTCAAAACACAGTGAAGTGTTTCAGTGACTACATCTTTCATCTTACTTGTTTCATGATTTGCAAGTTGCTATGGAGTGAAGAAGGCTAACTGATATTATGAGAATCCTTGTGACTGCCTTTTGGATGTGTGACACCTTTTTGTTGTTGCATGCTGAACTGAATCATTATGCTGTGCAGCCACTCTTTTTGCTAGCATTTTGTATGAAGTGCAGCCTGCAAGGCAGCCGCCGCTGTGTGGAATGAGGACACAGGGAAAGACCCAGCTGGACAGATTCCCCGAGTGACTCTAAGTACAGCGTCATACTCCACCTCGCCACGTACCCGGCATTTTGATTGATCAGGGTACCAATTTAGGAAACCCTACCTATGAAATCCAGCCTAATATGGAGTGCTGAAGAGTGGAAAATGTTCTAAGGGTATCAAGTATTTTGATAGCAGTTCATTTGAACCACCAGATCCTTCTCCTGTACTTGGACAAGTTGGATTCGGAGAGTATGTCTTATGTTTGCAATTCAGGACATCTTTACTTAGAAGCAGGTGTCATGGTACTCGGAGGGACTTTCGCTCTAGTAAATGTGCTCAAGGCTGTGGCCTTATAATCATTCTTGACTGATTTTGCAATAATCAGTCATTCTTGACTGATCTTTACCAAAGTTATTAGATGCAATTATTTGCAATCTAAAATAAAATCCATAGTAGCGCCAGTAGTAAATCCAATTTGTATTATATAAAGTTTAGACTCTTGATAGTAGATTTAGAAGTGGTTCCAGAATGCATTGTTTTGTTCTGTTTTGAAAGAAAGCTTTATAAAAAAAAGGGAAATGCCCACAATGGAACTAAGAAGACATTGAGCCACAAACTGGTAACCTCTGGCATTTGTACATCCCCCCCCCCCAGTTAGATTAGAACTTGCCCTTCATGAGTGCTAAGTTATGAGTAAGAATGCAAGCTGGAGTTTTCCACTAAAATAATTTACATTAGCTTGATAGCTGCATGTATCCAATTCATTAGGAGGAAATAAGAGTTTTCAGTTCTAGTGGCTCTGGCTATTTTTACATACATATGCTTAATGGTATATTTATCATCTGGAAAATGGAATTATAAAATTCTACTCATCACAGTAGCCCAGCATGACCCTCATTTTCAGACCTGACTCAAACTTTTTAAACACATGCGAGTCATTTTCGGAGCTTAGGTGGAACTACTGTGAGAGGCTCTAAAACATCCTGCATTCTTCTCAATGAAAACAGAGAAAAAAATTCTATTTAATTTGAACCGATGAAAATAGGGGAGAGAATCACTGGCTTATTAAACAAATATTTTGTGCTATTATGCCAGAAAGATTGGCATAATTAAAGTGCTGAAAGCACATCATGTAACGTCACCTTAAGAATCTTTAAAACAGTTCTGCAAGGTGTGTGAGTATACTTACTGACACTGCAGATGGGTGCATGGATGCATCTTAGTATAAGGCAGAATGGCTTGTGTAAGGTTGCCCAAGGAGTCGGTGGGCGAAGAACTTTCCAGTTCATCGCTCATTCTCTTCAGCATTAATCACTATTTAAAGAATATCTCTGTGTTAAAACATAAGGTCCATATAATCTCTGAGCATACGAAGGCCACACATTCTCTTTTACAGGCTGCTAGAGGAGAGGATGGTCCTCCTTGTTGCTGAGGCACAACTTCAGCAACAAGCCCACAAGTCACCTGGTCGTAATTTTACCTGCTCTGGCCAGAAGTATTGTAGTTCTGCTTAAATTATTTAATCCCCCCCCTCACTTCACATCTATACATATTAACCAGCATATGCCATTGTATGCAAAGCACTGTTATCTTTTGCCATCGTTTTGTTGCTACAAATCTTTCTTTTTGGTGATTGTCAGTGCCTCTCCATCTTTGCATATATATTAAGACATCAGTCTTAAACAACTGAACCAGCATATGCAATTGTATGCAAAGCACTGTTATCTTTTGCCATCGTTTTGTTGCTACAAATCTTTCTTTTTGGTGATTGTCAGTGCCTCTCCATCTTTGCATATATATTAAGACATCAGTCTTAAACAACTGAATACGTACATCATATTTTTCTGAAGCTGAAAGTGAGAAGGGGGAAAAACTCTGTCCAAATGTATCATTTACAACCAAGACCAAAATCATATTTTGATTACGTCTACTTGGTCTTAAAACTGGAAAGGATAAAATGTGGCCCCATGCTCTAGTCCTATTCTACATTCCAAAATATTTCTTAGTCTTATCTTCTTACTTATAAGGAACTGTTCTTACTCCTTATCCTCATAGTACCCCAGTGAGGTAGTGAGTATTCTAACCCTCATAACAGAGCCATGGAGAGCTTCATTGAACCAAGGTCACCTCTGGAGATGGTTGCAGTTCCAAGGATTAAAGCTGAGAATTTAGCCTCTGAGTCCAAGAACCATCTCAATTGCATAAAATGCTAGACACTGTCACCGCTCTCACATTTCTGAGAATACTTGTAAGCAAGAAGTATTAAATAGGATGTACAGTTACTAAGCTCTGAAGGCCCTTCTACTGGTGTCTGAAGGAACTGCATTGGTAATATTTATCACAGCATATATTAAGAAAAATCTATACTTCTTCATTTCGGTCTCAGGAATTTCATTTTTGGAGGCTGAGACCAAACCACAACCACAGCTAACATAATTGACCTAGCTGGATCAGTCTCATATCTTGTTGTAGCACTCCAGCTTTCATTTAGGCGAGTTACAGTGAAATAAATCATGGGGATTTCCAATGGAAATTAAAATAATTATGCAAATTTTCCATAGAAAAAACCTTCTCCCCCATTATAACCATGGTAAAAAACTCTAATCTCGGGCTGCCAATGTTCGTAAAAATCAACCGGACATCAAAAAATGTGGGGTCAACAATAAGTCCCATCTTTACGATATTTTAAACTTTTGAATGTGCTCATTAAGTATCAGATAATAGTATTTTAACTTATTGGGTTTCTGACGAGTGATTCAATACTATGCTTGGGGGCTCTGAGTGTGTTTGACCTGTTTTTGAGCATCACTTCTCAGTTAAGGAAACACTGAATACTTGGGTACTGTACCTATGCCTGGCTTTTACGCTTCAGTTATTTTCTGCGTATTTCTACAAAGCGAAAGAAAGTACATTTCATTGCCACCTGTTGGATGTGGAATAAGCTATGGGTGTGATCACAATCTGGACTGCTTGTGCAGTGGTCCAGTGCAATCTATTTCCTGCTGATCACATGATACAAGAGGAATTGTGCTCCCACCCAGCCCTGATCCATGCCCAAGATGGACCTTTTTTAAATCCAGTTCTAGAGCTTCTGCTTTTCTGAGCCAGGCTGGAGTCATTCCCTGGCAGACTTGCTTCAAGTGAGCTTGTTCATGTTAAAGTGACGGTTTTGTGTGCAGTCGGACACATCATGCTTTTGCAGCCATCCGACTTCACCCTACATCTGTTAGAAAATGGCATCAGGGAGTGCCATATGAACATTCTCCCTGAATCTACTGAGTAGGGTTGGAGCAAAGGTGAACATTCCTCTCACAAGAAAGCACAACCTTCTATACAAAGTATGGATCAGAGTTTCTATATCTAAGATTAGGTGAAAACAAGATGACAGAAAAGGGCAAACACAATGTTGTTAGGACTTTAGGCCTCCGCTCTGTGACTGAAACATTCAATAATAATTTAAAACTAGGAGTCAAATATTTCACAAAGATTTGCAGGGATTTATGGAGGCAACACGGGCAGAAACAGAGCAGGAAAAGAAACAGCTTCTTTTCTTCCCCCCACACACACCATGACAAATCTTTTCCTCTTACCTACCAGACTTTAGGTTCTTGGGTCAGGGAGAGAAGCTCATCCTTTCTACCTGGCCCCAGGTAGAAAGGATGTTCTCCCTTTATCTCTTACGAGATGCAAGTAGAAGAAGAGAAGAAGGGTCTTTGGGAAGTATGGTGGAAGCGGTCTTGGAAGAAAAGCTCCCTTCCCTTTATGGTTTTGCGAATAGCACTCAGCAGAACATAATTTCTCTCCCAAACTGGTCCTGGATGAGTTACAGCAAGCTCAGAAAAAGGGAGCACAGTGGATTGCACGCATTCCATGAACCCATCTAATCCAACTTATAAGCTCAGAAAAGCACAGTGGATTGTATGCATTCCATGAACCCATCTAATCCAACTTAACCTGATATTGGTGCCAGGCAAGTAATGCCTAGGTATTTGTCAAGACAGATTAGTAAAATACCTTTTGGACTACATTGTCCAGAACTCCCCCACCACTGTGGCTATCGGTCTTGGGAGTTGTAGTCAAAAA